ATGGAGAGAGAGTTGACTTTTTTAATATAAAAATGGAGAGGCAAAGGAAATCAAAATGGAAAGAAAACAAAAAATGGGAATGGAACACAAATAGAAAAAAGGGGCAGCAGAGAAAGCCACATGCAACTTTAAAGTAAATGTGTTTTACATTTATTAGCATTGCTACAGGTTGTTAGATTTTAATGATAAAAAGATGGGACATGGAGAGAGAGTTGACTTTTTTAATATAAAAATGGAGAGGCAAAGGAAATCAAAATGGAAAGAAAACAAAAAATGGGAATGGAACACAAATAGAAAAAAGGGGCAGCAGAGAAAGCCACATGCAACTTTAAAGTAAATGTGTTTTACATTTATTAGCATTGCTACAGGTTGTTAGATTTTAATGATAAAAAGATGGGACTTGAAAGGAAGAGGGCCTAATCATTTTCCTAGGATGGGAAGCATGAATTTTTAGGCAAATTGTAGACAGGAGGCAGGAGAAGCATATTGACAATTTACCTCTCAATCTTAGCAGAGTTTAATTTGCTACTCAGGTACATTAGCATAATGTGAAAATCATCTAATTTATACACAGAAGATGAATACATTTGACCTCAAAATTGTGTGTGCAGTGACCTCAAGGAACTTTGCTCATTAATTTTTAATTATGGTTCCTTATTTTTCATTTTATAAACACGTGTTCAATTTATATTACTTTGGAATTCTAAACTTTTTTACTTTTTATTTTTTCATGTCAGGATATCGAATGCCAGCCCCTCAAAAATGCCCAGAGGAAATATATAAAATAATGCAGCGGTGCTGGGACTACAAACCTGAAAACCGACCAAAATTCAGTGAGATTCAGAAAGAACTATCGTCAATCAAAAAGAAAGTGACATAGTGATAAAGTAGTGACAAACTCAACCTACAGGACTCTTATTACTTCGTTGAAAAACATTTTTCCCTCAAACACTAAGCGTTATACCACAATATCTGCAATATTCTTCTAGGGTTATTTTTTAAAATTAACTCTTTTATATATATGTGTGTGTACGCACGCGCGCACGCATGTGCACACTATCTTGGAAAATGTCTAAGCATACATTAAAAAAAGACAATTATTCCAAATGAGTGTTATACAGTTACATTGATACTGTCATTTAGGATACATGTACATAGAACATGATATTATAGATTTGACTCCCATCTATTTTACAGTGATTAACTGCTAGAGAAAAGCAGCAGTTTATCAGGAATCAATATGCATACAACTCTTTTGAATAGCTAACTTTTTTCTAAAGATTTTCTACTTTATGCTGCATTATTAATTTGTTATCCCAGTGACGGATGTCAGCTCCAGTGGCACTAAAATATGATGGCCGTGTAATATTTCTGAAGACCTTAAACCTAAGGACCACAATTTTTTAATAATATTTCAATTAGGAACTTGATATTTTTAAATCGTTTCTGAAACTGATATTTTGCTTAGAAAGAACATGCATTAAGATTCTGGATGTGCATGTATTGTTTTTGAACAAAGAAATCCATACAGTTTTCATAGAATAATATTCACATGATTTACAAGCACCTCCTTAGATTTCTTACAGTTGCTTCCATCATAGTAAATATGTTCACCTTTGGACACTTATTTTTTCAGAGGAAAAAAGCAGCAGTTTATCAGGAATCAATATGCATACATCTCCTTTGATGGGCTAGTTTTTTTCTAAAATGCCACGTATTATATATGTCTGTCAGGAAATACTCCAAATCATCTGCCTTGGAAAGTACAAGCAGAAGATGACAACACTTGGTTTTTGAATGTACACATATAGAAAAGCGGTCATCAGGAAGCAAATTTGAGAGCAATAGTGCATGCAATGAAGGTAGCGGGTAGCAATGATTTTAAATGGAGTAAAAGAAAAAGTGAATTGGAAATTCTCTGGTAGGTTTCTGAACTTTTTTTTTTCCTCCAAATTTCAAATGGTATTCCTTTTTTGCATGCTGTTGGAGTCAGCAAAAGGACATGCTTAAGGAAGAACTTTCCATTCATAATGTCACAAAGAAAAAGGCTATATCTCAATTGCAGGAAGAAATATTAACCGTTTTAAACCTCTGAAAGGCTGAACAAGGTATATAGTAGAAATATCCCTCTGTAGAACTGTTTCTTTAGCTGCATTCAGATTTGTTCTCCGTTAAAAAAAAAAGTTTTGCATACTCACTGTCAAAGACTGGTATAAAATTGTATTTCTATAAGATCAAGAAAAGCTAATCAGTCTTTGGGGGGAAAGGCACAATTAGTTTGTGGCTTGGACCTATCTCTACAAAAGGCCCAGATAAGGATTCCTGACTGCCATAGAGACCCATGACTTCAGAAACAAGTTATGATCTGGGATCCAAACTTTGGGAGACTATGGTTTTGATGTAGGCCTGTCTCCAATAAGTATCAAATAGTTATCAGCCCAAGCTGTGTTAACAAGGAGTAAACTGCCAGACCAAATGACTAAAACAGGTATGAAAGAAAAACAGTATTTGGAACTTTTAATGGCCCTATATCCTTCTTGTGGCTGCATTACATTTTATTTATATTATGGTGACTCTTCTATTGTCCAGAGCACAACTGCTCTTTAAAGTGTATTTGTAGTAGTAGTGAAAGGAATGTGTGTGTGACTGAAGTATTTGTAGGCTGAGAGTTTCAACCAGTATCTATTAAAATAAGTGCCCAAATGAACAATGAAGCAACATGTTAGAGAATACCTTTTTCATTGTAGGTGGACTTGTTAGCAGGCTGGGTTTGTTCTGAGGGTAAAGAAAAGAAATACATTGGGAATATGGAGTAGAAACTGAAAATAAAGGAAAATTAATGTAGTTCCTTTACATAAATACTGAGCACATTTAATTATCACTGTGCTCACATTTGGTCCAAAGATACTTAACACCAGTAAGAAACATTGTTTAGTCACTCAGCACTGGCATAAAATTCTTTCTATACCTTAATGAGCTGGCATGCTTATGTGCGTAGAAGTGCATAAAAGTGCCAGAAATGTACAACTGTAACTCCAGGAAGAATGCAGTTCCAAATCAATAAATGACACAAATGCAGGTCCTCTTATGTAATTGCTAATGTCTAAAAGTTAGGACAAGAACGTATGGGCTTTTTCTTAGATTAACACGCTTTTTTAAATGGATGACTTATTTTGTAAAGGACTGTATATATCCAACCCTTTCACAAGAAAACAGAACAGTTCTTTTTGTCTTAATTTAGTTAACAGGACAGACAATTCTGATTTTTATCTACAGATGTAAAAGGATAAAAACTGCATTCATTTTTCACTTATCTAAGCAGTTAACATTTGCAATTCATATCGTACATCTGTTTAAATTGAAAAGGCTTTTCAAAACATGGGACACCTGCAGTATCTAAGTATTCTGTGTTCTTTGTCCTAAGGCAGACAGGAATTCAATTCATGATTAATAACCCTTTGGGAGACTGTCAGGATGAGTTCATTGGTATAGAATAAATTTAATATAGGCATATCTGGCTTTCACAAAAACTTATGTAAACTGTTTTCTCACCATTAATTCAGTTGTGTTTGTGACATCATTTATTTGTCCCATCTGTCACATGTAATTATTGGAATTATGTTCTTTAGGAAGTTAAGTCAATACCAGATACATGTCTATAATTACTTTTCTTAACTTTACAAGCATACAGCAGGGAAGACTACAAAATGTATAAAGAAAAACTCTTCCATTTAAGGAATGTAAGGCAGGTATAGCATTCAGGAATCAAAGCTGCAACTATCCGCCTTCTCTGTAGTTTTGAAGTCTTCTCTGTAGTTTAACAAAGTCTTAGCTTTGTTAATGAATTAACCAAATATTGGCTATTTTACTTTTGTACATTTTGTTTAAGATGCAGCAAAATTAAGTGTGTCTTCTTTTGGAAATTCAGTATATTTGCACTGACATCTGCACTGACTCCATGTAAGGGGTTCTAGTGGACTTTGGAAATATTCAGATGGTTATTACCCAGAAAATACTCCTAAGTGTTACAGAAATAGTAAGACAGCGGTACCCTAAAAGTCAAAACCTCTAAGTATATTTTATGAGACGGAGTTTTGATTGATCTATCCAGTTACAAATTATTTCTTCTCTTTCAAGGCATTATAAAGGAATGAAAAGTGCTACTGTCATATTTCATTTAACTTTTTAAAAGGTTATTTTAAGCCCCATGAAAGCCAATAATGAGTGTACAGTTTTAGTTGTTTACAATCAAAACTGAGCATTTAAAACTAGCCTTAATGTTTAGTTTTGAAATCATCATCCTGGTTAAGATTCTAAAATATATGGAGTTCATGGTTTATAGAAAGTGCAATATTGAGAAACAGCATGTTTGAAAACAAGACAGAGACGTGTGCCCTCAGCAGATGTGTAGTCTTTTTGTACAGTCTACATTTCACACAGTTCCTAGATTTTTAATCGAAATTGAAAAAGTAAACAACATTATTTAGTAACTGTGGTCATTTTGCATTTTTGTTTTAATTGTGATGTGCATTTTGTAATTATATCACAGAATATGCCTCTATTTTGAAGTTTCGCTTTCAGTGTCTTAATATACTTTAGAGGCTGTCTGCGTCAGGAAGTACAGCATCCAGACAATGCTGTTCACAAAATAAACCTCAGACTTTTGAGGGCAGAAAGCAGTTGTAAGAAAACAGAAGTTTACTGTACCTCACTGTTTTTCTCTCAGCTGTGTTTGTTTATAATGAATGGTGTGCTTATTCAAATGCTGCATATACTTATTGTGAAATCATATACATTATTTATGGTATTTTTACTACTGTAATGCTATTAATCAAAAATATCAGTAAACTCCCCTCCTCTCCCAAATTAAAGAGCCTCAGCCACAACATTTCTAGCTGAATCTAAAGCTTGGAGTTTTTCAGATCTGAAATTCAAGTTTGGGATTGTCTCTGTTTTCTCTTTCTCCTTGTTCATGTGAATTACTTTGCTGCCAACAGTACCTTATGCTTTACCCTGCCTATGCTAGCATTTTTTATGAGAGGTCGGACCAGCAGTAGCAATGGTGAGCTAATTAGGCTGGCTGCCAGCATTCTTATCATATCTTCTGGACCAGCTCTGGAAAGGGTCACACAACAGAGATCTACATTAGCACTCCTGCTGGTAGAGCAGTACCTCAAAAATATTTCAGGGAGAAAGGATAGTGTAAATAAGGTATCTTGTAAATTAGTCTTATGATTTTTAAGAGGAGGTCTTAATCTGACATAATAGCAGTTAATTGATAGAATGTCCGAGATGCTAATGGCACACTATATAAAGCAGCAAGAAGAGAGAGAGATGGATCAAAAAAGTAAGGATCCTCTTTTGATAACAATAACCTTATTCATTACCAATGGAATAGTTTGCATCATAAACACACTTGTTTGTTACAGTATCATTACCCAATAGATAAGCAGGAAAGCTTGCCACTGAAATAAGGTCACCTTTTCTAATTAATTACTTTAAGTACATGAGAGGTTTTTTTAAAGATTTGGTTAATGCTGTATTATGATAATTAGTACAGGTTGTGGCTATTAACCATTGTGGTGGGGGTACAGAGAACCATGCTGAAATGGCAATCCTTGGAAGCATTCTGACTGACTTAGCCATGATTGCTTTGGGGATGTACAGAGTACAGACTGTAGTGTGTCCATCCTGCTGCCTCACCAACAGCAGGGCATCTGCCCTCTTTATATTCAGGCCTTATACTCCCTGCTGTAGGAGGGCAACTAAATTCAGTGCCCTTGGAAATGGATTAAATCACTGTAGAACAAATGAGAGAGGTTTCAAGAAGAAAAATCCCAAACTCAATCCTCCCTTATAGAAAGGATGTTCTAGCAGAACATTTAGAAAATGAAATCAAGGCATACAGTGTCCTGTATATACCTTAGCCCAAGTGTGGCTGGATGGAAATTGTCTTTCAGGCCCACATCCTTCTGCTGGTTTGCATCATGAGAGGAGGAGAGATTTAAACATTACTGATTGGCCAGTTGATTGTCTAACAGGCATCATTTTGCTTCACTTATCTTTTGTCAATTTAAATTATTAGGCTTGAAAAATACAGGTCTGCTGATTTTTAAAAAAAACTGCCCAGTTTTCCAAAGGAAAGGACAGAAATAATAATTTAATTAAGGACTATTATTTATAATTCAGAGGACATGTCATAAGGTTTTTGAGATAGTAGCTAGTATAGCTCAGTATAATGTCCATTTCTGACAGTGAAGGCATTAAAACAACCAAAAGGAAAGCAGATTAGAATCTGAAGTAGAAAGAATCCCTCTGTTAGTTTTCTGAAGCCCTTTCTTCTGCCACTCACTTGCCAATATATTTCCTTTCTGAATCTGATGAGGTGTAGTGATTGCCAGCTGAACTTTCCCTGTAGCAATATAAAAGTAGTGCAGACCTAAATTGCGTATCTTCTCTTCTTTGATATGAAAGACAAAGCAGGAAAGTACTTCAGGTGAAACCATACCACAATCTCAGACATGAAAACCAAACACAGATTTAAATGTCAGCTTCAGTTCATTGCATTTATCACACAAGCACCACGTGGAGCATTTCACCATTAGCCTTGCAAAGTGTTAAAGGGTGACAAAGATGTGTCCTGAGACTTTATTTAGTCTTCAAATTATATAGCATCTTCTGAAAATAAATGTGCTGATTTGTCTTTAGATTTTGTCAGAGTTATTTTCATGAGATGTTGGTCCTTGTGCTTTTAGTCACTACTTTTGGTCTTTACATCTGGTTTGTCCCATTCTTCCTTTCCTGATAGGAGTTCATTTTCCCCTGGGATCTGTGCTTTCCTGTTTTTGGAACCTCAGAAATAACCTGTCTGAGCTGATGCCCAGAATAGTACTTTTCCCCCTCACATTCTTATCTTCTAATCTAGAAAGTTAATAAAACCTGCAGGAAATACAGCTCCCTAGACTCAGATAAAGTAGTGGTATTCTACCTCCCTCATTGTGTTGGCCTGTTTGTGCAGGATATCTTACAAACAGTTTAAGAATGACAATAGCTATGATGTACATTACATACCAGCAATATTTCCATTAGAAAGAAAAAGAGAGCAAAGGGGGGGGGGGGGGGGGCAAGAAAGAGGGAAGATGTACAAGAAAAGTAGATTAGGTACTATACTAACAAAGATGATGGTGCTGCTATTGTGGGTCAAAAAAAAGCTGAGGATAGGTCTTCAGCAACTATTACACCAATGGGAGAGCTGCTCCTATCACCATAGTTAATCCACCTCTACAAAAAGTGGTGTCAGTGTTCATGGGGAAAATCCTCTTGTCAACAGAGGGGCTCACAGAAATGCTGGGCCCCTGGAGTGGAGGCAGCAGCTCTACACTCCCAGAAGGGGCAGGCATCGGGCAGAAAAGGAGACACTGGGGGGGGGGGGGGGGCAAGAAAGAGGGAAGATGTACAAGAAAAGTAGATTAGGTACTATACTAACAAAGATGATGGTGCTGCTATTGTGGGTCAAAAAAAAGCTGAGGATAGGTCTTCAGCAACTATTACACCAATGGGAGAGCTGCTCCTATCACCATAGTTAATCCACCTCTACAAAAAGTGGTGTCAGTGTTCATGGGGAAAATCCTCTTGTCAACAGAGGGGCTCACAGAAATGCTGGGCCCCTGGAGTGGAGGCAGCAGCTCTACACTCCCAGAAGGGGCAGGCATCGGGCAGAAAAGGAGACACTGGGGCAGTCAGCCTTCAGTGCTGCCCAGACAGCACTCTCCTCCACCCGGCCCAGCCCTTTTAGCACCACCCACAGCATGCCACCCAAGGCTTTGGTGGCAATTTAAAGGGCCCAAGGCTCCAGCCACCGCTCTAGTAGTGCTGTATACACCGGGGGTTAGGGACAGTATAAATGAATTGCTCACAAGTATGGATTTTTTGTCCCCATTGAGTACTTGTAACCATGTAAGTCTGTAGAATAGACCTGACCTAACAATAGTTAAAAAAAATCTGGGCCTAATATTTTCCAGTACAAGTTATCTAAAAGTCTCTCTTCACCCCTCAATGATCAGATGGTCACTTATGGCAGCAAAATGTTCAAGTGTTTTGTGAGCTTGGCGGGTACTTTGGGGCAGGGGAGCAGAACCTCCTGAAAATACTCTGTTCTTATATCTACTGTCTCTAAAACTTTGATAAAACTTCCACAGGCAAAGCAGAGTTTTCAGATCATTAATGTGCTTTGACATTTTATAGTTTACATTTTCACTAAAAAAAAAAACCCCCAAAGAATAATTATCTTCCATTTCCATTTTTGCTCTCAATCTCTCACAGAAATCACGGGATCCAGCACTCGATCCCATTGAACCACTTTGCTAAACTTCACCAAATTCCTGAAAATATTAGTTACTTGATATGCAAGATATTTCTCCTTCACTGTGACAAATCTGATTTTGAACTAATTGCTGCTTGAAACTATAGGTACAACAGCATAGCAGTTGGGGAAGAAGGGGAAGTTAGAGATTTCACCTTTAATTCTTGTCTTTCTTAAGACAGCAAACCCTCAGTGGCTTCATCTACAACAGAGTATGCAAATGAGGTGCAGATTAGCATATTGCCCTGCCTCATTTGCATGCTTTTTTCAGGAAAAAAGTAGTGTGGACTATTTTTTTGCACAAAAAACCTGTTTTCTGCAAGATCGTTATGATTCAGAGGCATAAGGATCTTGCAGAAAACGGGTTTTGTGCAAAAAGAAGTCTACACAACTATTTTTCCATGCAAAAACTGTGCATAAATTATGCAAATGATGTGTGATATGCTAAACCACACCTCATTTGCATACTCACTGCCAGCAAAACCAGCAGAATAGACGTAGCCTATGTTAGTTTGACCCCAGAAAAGAAAAATTGTTGGTTCAACACTGAATAAAGGAAATAATAGCATAAAAAACAAAAACATGATTTCCATATATCTGCTCCTATCCATAAATCTCAGAAGATGGGAATTGTGGGACAAATATACATTTAAAATTAAGAAGAAATTGCATGTTTAAGAAAAGAAACAATTCTCTTACTAAAATTCTGAAATCCCTCCTTGCATGGAACTCCCATCAAAGGACTGGGGCCACAGTTTTGATTTTTTTTGTTTTTTGAAGAAGATTTCTCATTACTGGCCATGCTTGAAGATTCTTCTTCTTTCATCTACACTATTTCACTAAGGCAGAGCTTTCTGACCTTTCTAAACAGTAGAGGATTTATTTTAAAGACTTTAAAAGAGTTTAGTGTTCATAAAGAGCAATTCACAATACTGGCTAGAGCGATGTAGTTACTTTTGATGCTTCCCCTCATCTCTCTGTGAATGTACTTCACACTCTACTTACAGATCTCGATATAAATGTACTGTCTTTACCAATCAGAGACTACTGATCACATTCTTTATGAAATGGTTTAATAATATGGCCAAAAGTATCAACTAGGCTAAAGCCACGCAACCCAAAATAGGTGAAAAAACTGCAAGATGATATCTTTATTCTTATGGGGGGAGGTGTCGTTTTTGTTTTTGAGGTTTGTTTTTGACAAAATGAATACTCCCATGCATCTTTATAAGCAATCACCTTGCAAACAAATAGCTAGATCATAAACCTCAAGGGACCATTTTACATGCAACTGTGAACTTAAGAGACTACTTCTCATTCTGAAAATGCTTGCAGGCTAGTATGAGGGACAATGAAATCACATTACTTCACAAAGAATCAACTGCTGCTAGAAAAAAATAGAACCTAGAAGTATAATTCTAAATTGCCATCATAGCTGTGCTATAATTTTAGAACTGGTTCTAAACATGTAGAGCAACTCGTTGCACCAAACTTTGACGCTGTGTAGTAAGAGCAGACAGAAAAGCACACACCAGCACCAAAATCCCTCAACAGTCCAAGCCAAGGTGATATGTGAAAAGCAAAACAGCATGTCAAACAAGAAAAAGAAAGGTCAGTCTTGGATTATTAGTTTACAGAGGAAGCATTCTCTACATCACAACTGAAATTTTGCTCTTATTGAAAAGCCAGTACAGACATATTAGATTCAGTCTTGCTGAAATATATCAAGAAATAACAAGAAAAAAATCATTCTGCTGAAAAATATGTATTCAATTAAATAAACCAGCAGAACAAAACTAGAAGCTACCACCAGCTACCACCTACAACAAACTAATGTAAAACACAATTATGGGATACACACAGTAAAACTAATCATTGTGCTTGGATTATCAAGAAGATCAATCTTAGGTACAAATTCTGTTCTCATGCTGTAGTCAATTCAACTGACTTTAGCACAATTTCACTTATACATGAAGCCAACAAAATTTCACTTCAAGACTATTTTTAGAGGACAGTCTGACCTTTAGTATTGTCGTCTTCAGGCCTCTGTTTGAATGAGATGCTTCCATATCCCTCACATACTCCCATTTTACATTGTCTCTTAAGAGCAACTCAGAGAGTAAAGTTCCAAATTCATCCCAGCTTTCATTTGGCCCAACATCTACTACTTCCAGAGTCAGAAAAATACTACTACAGGTATGACATCCTGAAGTAACTGTAAGGGAAAGGTGAATGCCCAGTCCACCTTCTGTTTCACCTAATGACATCTTCAAGAAAGCTAACTCTAATATAAAAAAGGAGGTTAAGTATGTGACATTCTGCTGTTGAAGTTTTCTTTGCAGCACACAATGTTCTGTTCCTCATCTTTGAGGAGTGACATGTAATTAACACTGCCCACCGGCACAGAGATTTACCCTGCTTCAATTATAGTCAACAGACCAGTTCCAAATGAACTGAGTGTTGATACCACTGTTTCCACTGAGCCTCATTAAGGAAATGTGTTCTTCTTTTAGCCTATTTCAGAACTCCAAACCTGTTCTGCATTCTTAAATAATCATCATTCTTAGTGTCATCCATTTTGTTTTTAGAGGCCTGGTTTCCTTGCTTACATCACATAACATTTAGCTCTGCAGATACTGAATCTGAGACTTGCAGACTAAGAACTTACGGCTTGTTAGTCCATGAAATATTGTGTTTACAGGACATTTAATATGCAAAGTGACTGGCTTTTAGGTGACCAATTTAATAGATTTTAATTAATTTTCCTCAGCAGATGGCTCAGCTGGCTCAAATATCAGTAATGCCATTATCAGTCACTTTTGGTTAAAAAAAATTAAGTATATCAGTGTCTCTTGCATATAGTTTTCTCCTTAACAGATATGTGGCTTTTCTTTTAATCACTAAAGATATTCATTACAATAGTGTTGCATGTAAGGTTTAAATTGTGCCCCACTTCTCTCCGGAATACTAGGGAAGGGCTGAGTAGACTATAGAGACAAAGAGAGGGGCTTTTTGGCATTCTGAGGGGCTTATATAGATCAGATGTAGCCCGGCTGCCTCACTGCACTGCTTCTGGGAGTGCTCCCTGTAGCATTCCATACATCCATTAATGAAATGTGCACTGTGTTCCCCCCAGCACTTGCTACCAAGTGCTAACTGACACAGGAGAAGTAGAAATCTTATCCTGCCCCCTCCTGGCTTACCCATGCTAGCTTGCAGCTATGGACAACTCCAGTTCCCACAGATTGCTAGTGACAGCAATTTGTCAAGTTCTATACTGGTGCACATGGGAGAAGGTTTAGACAAAACTTCCTGCATATTCACTGTGCAAGAGATCCAACTTCTCTCACCACAGGAGAGCCAAGATGCATCCAATTAAGATGTCCATCGATTCTTAATATAGCAGCATAATAATCATGGCTAACAAACATATTCCCTGCAGCACGTTTCCCCATCTGATTATTAGAGGTTCTCCCCCTAAAAGCTAAAGAACACAGAAAAGCCTAATGGAAAAGGACTAGGTCTAGGGTTGGGCATTGTTAACACAAATGACATAGCCAAGAAATAACAGCCCAAAGAGTTAATCTGACCTATTGATTCCAAAAACACCCTACAAAAGTCTTGAAAATCACAAACACACATTTTGTATCATTTAGTTGTCATCCCCTCAGCAATTGCACAATTGTGTACAATCAAGATGTTTCCAGAAAGGACAGTTGAGGTGACAGTTATAGGGGCACTGTCTTTCCAATTATGTGT